TTCAATTTTCTTTAAAATAATATTTGCTATATTCTTATTAATTTTATCGTCACCAAGGGTATTACTAACATTATAGCCATCTTTATCACATTATTTCTTTTATTATCATTATTGTTGTTGTTCTGGTCAATATAAATATCATCATCACTGTCATTATAATTTTATTGTTATTATCATTATCATTATCATCCTCACTATTATCACCATTGTCATCATTCCTTTATTATCGTTAACTTCATTTATCAATTCATTCATTCTTGCCCAACATCAATTTGCGACAGGAGGAACACGCAAAATAACTTTCAAAATGGCCATTTATTCTCGCAGTGAAAACGCATCGCAATCTCTTCTGTAATGTATTTTATTCAGTGATGCAACTATTAACCAGACAATAGATTACGTTAATCTCTTTTTTCCTTTAACAATTATACAAAGAGAGAATAAAAGCTAAAAACACTTTGAACCAATGAGTGATTAGGGTGACGTGTTGTAATGGTTGACTTTACGGTTAGAATATAGTTATTTTTTTCTTCTGTTTCCGGATATAATGAGATAGAGGCAAGAAAAAGATAAATTGCATATCTAAGAAATGAAACCACAATCATTGTTGTTACTGACGTTGTCATTATTATAGCCATCGTTATCATCATCGTCTTTACCATCAGAATCTTTAGCAGTCTGCCATGCACCTAAATTTCCATATTTGAAATAAAATGAAACTGAAAATCACTTAAATATCACTCTGAAAATTAAATAATTAACAGTATCATCAACGTCGATATAACGTTATCCTCACCATTATTACAAAAACGAAATAAAAAATGAAAAATAAAATTCTGCTTCATCACTTGCATTCCTCTAAGAGAAACCCGGGTGTGAAATGTGCGTTTCACTCCATTTTCTTCTTCTTTTCTTCTTTTATTACGTAGAGTTATAAAGAATGGGTTTATGATGCTATTCTCTCAGAAACATAAAGAACACACATTCCCACATTTTTGCGGTCTTTTTGCCGAAACCAGAGTCGGGGCCGTTTATTCGAACAGGTTGTTTACCTAAAGTGGGTTTTCGAAAGTATTGAGAACATACATATTTATGATTTTTTTTTCTTTTTTTTATGTATATGATCGTATTATTCACCTAATAATTACTCAACGGTAGATATTTGATATATCATTGATTATAAGTCGAAAATAATAATAATAAGAAAAAAATGAATCGTGGAAATTTGCACCTGCAATCTTAGCACCATAAATCTGCTGTTCGAAACATGTGGTTACGGCGAAAGTCAGTGGCAATAATCTCTCGCTGGGTACGGCGTATTGTACATCTTGTCTGTACAGCCTGTGTTTATTCCTCGAGCGCAGCGGTCAAGAGCTACTTTTATAGGCCGTTTAAGATGCCATATTGGAAGGGAAAAAGGATAGCGGAATTTTGTAAAATGGAAACAAAAATTTTTATCTTCACCATACATCACCATCTGACATGAGAGTACCACCATCATTACCATACAGTACCGTCATCATCAGCTGATATGATCGCCATCACCAGCATACATCACCACCACACATCATCATCATCTTCTATCGCCATACATGAGGAGGTATCGAATGAAGCAAGCTTTCCCTCTCCTCTCTTCCCCTTCCACTTCTCTCCTCTCCCTTTCTCTCTCACTTCTCTCTTCTCCTCTCCTCTCACTTCTCTCTTCTCCTCCCTTCTCACTTCTCTTTTCCTCCCCTCTCCCAACCTCTCCTCTCCTCCTCTCTCTTCTACTCTCCCCTCCTCTTCTCCTCTCTCCTCTCCTCTCCTCCTCTCTCATTCCGCCCAGTCACCATACCTTGACTGTTCCACCGTGACTTTGTGGCGAGTCTTGCTTCCTTTCCTCACTTCCTGTGGTGAGGAGAGAGGGAATAGGAGGAGAGAGGGAGAGGGGGAGAGGGGAAGGAGGAGAGAGGGAGGGAGGGAGGGAGGGAGGGAGAGAGAGAGGTAGGAAGAGGAGGAGGAGAGAGAGAGAGAGAGAAGAAAAAAAAGAGTCGGATGGGAGAAAAGAGGAGAAAGTAAAGAAGAGAGAGGAGAGTGGAGAGAAAGAAAAAAGAAAAGAAAAAAAAAGAAGAAAAAAAAGAAAATAAGGAAACAGAAAGGAGACCGAACATACAAGGTTTAAAAAAAAAAAAAAAAAAACGGAAAAAGGAGACAGAGAAGAAAGAAAGAGAAAGAGAGGGTAGAGGGGACCTGAAATGTATGGGGGGAGGAAGGAGGGAGAGAGGAATCGAAACACCGGGATGGGTAGATAGGGGGAAGACACTATTTTTTTTATCTTCGTTTTTTTGTGGTTGGGGGAGGGGGGAGGGGGTTGAACACCAGTGATTTCGGCGTCGATCAAAAAGGGAGGAATTAATCGCCGCCGCCAACTGAGCCACGAGCGCGCGGTCAGATGGCGGTCAGGGCGTCACTTGCGGCTTCCTCTTCGGCGCCGCGTGAAATCACTTCCTAAATATCTTTTTTCTTTCCTTTTTCTTTTTTTTCCTTCTGTTTCTTCTTCTTTTTTCTTCTGCTTCTTCTTATTTTTTCTTCTTCTGTTTCTTCTTCTTTTTTCCTCTTCCCCTTCTTCTCCTTCTTCTGCTTCTTCTTTTTTTCTGCTGCTTCTTCTTTTGCTTATTCTTCCTCCTCCTCTTCTTCTTTCTCCCATGATTATTGTTATTATTATTATTATTCTGCTTCTCCTCCTTTCATTTCCTCTTCTTCTTCTTCTTCTTCTTCTTCTCCCTATTCTTCTTCCTTCTCCTCCTTTTCGATAGGCCTATTTCGAATTCTTGCCCCCTCCCCCCTAACCTCCACCTCCCCCCCTCGTATTTGCTTGTGAGTGACTCCGTGGAATGTTTTCCTCTTTTTTCTTTCTCAATGGCTGGATGGATTTCGTGCGCGTAAAGTCCAGTATCCACGAAAGTAAAGACGGAAAGACAAAAAAGAGAAAAGAAGAGAAAAGGGAAACAGAAAGAAAAAAGGAGAAAAAAAAAAGAGTGAAAAGAAAACGATAAATTGGTGGGGTGACAATGGAAAATTGGGATACAGAATTCGAGCGTGTTTTAAATACCTTTTTTTTAATATAATTTGAAAATGATTTTTTTCGGTCGATTCCTGGAGGAAATACACCTAAAACGAATTTATTCGTTTTAGGTGTATTTCATCTAGGAATCGAAGGATTTAATTTTGGAAGATAACAATAATAACCATTGATAACAATAACACGTACAACGATAACAATAAATAAAATCCCACAATAACTTGATTTTTAAAAATGTATTTATCATTATTATTACTATTATTATTGTTATTGTTATTGTTATTATTATTGTTGTTTTTGTTATTATTTTTGTTTTGTTTGTTTCGTTTTACGGAAATCATCTGCTCAAGTGACGGTTGATGGAGATGGATGCGGTGTCAAGATGAAGATGATGGTGATGATGGTGAAGATAAGGTGGTGGTGATATGGTGGTCGGTGATTATGACGTAGTGGTGATGTAGGCCTATGTACGCTCCGTTGATGAGGGGGCGGGAGAGAGAGAGGGGGGGAGGGGAGGTAGAGTTTTGGGGGAAGGGGGGAGGGAAAGACGGGGGGGCGAATGTGGAATCAAGGGAGGGAGGAAAAGGAGAAGATAGTGAAGAAAGAGAATGATAGGGAGAGAGAGAGAGAGAGAGAGAGAGAGAGAGAGAGAGAGAGAGAGAGAGAGAGAGAGAGAGAGAGAGAGAGAGAGAGAGAGATAAAGAAAGACAAACAGACAGACAGACAGATAGGGAGTGTGTGACACAGACGTTGAAAGCATAAGAGAGGAAATAGAAAGAGAGAAAAATGTAAACACATCCTTACTTTTCAATCTAAAAAATGAACAAATAACTAAATAAAAACTAATAACACTAATAACAATAAACAACAATTAAGGAAAGGAATTTAAACGAATACCAAGCGTGTGAAAAGAACATGAATTTGTCACGGCTTAATTTACTGAAGGGTGTAACATGGGCATTAAAGACAAAGCATTTCAAAGTTGATTAAGTTAAATTATCGTCCCTTTAAGATGCCTGGCGAGAAACAGTCACGTGATTACAAAAAAAAACAAAAACTTTGAGAAGAGTCACGTGGTTGCATATGCTTTGTATTTTATATCTGTAAACGAATAGATAAATAGATAAATAAATAAATAAATATATGAAATACGATAAAATAAATAGTTTTTGTTTCCCTTTTCGGTTATTTATTAACTGTGTTCTCTTTACTGTAAACTTTGATTGTTTACTGATGTATATGACTAATATCATGTAGTTATGCACATTTTGTACATAAAGCTATCACCGAATAATAAGTACATATCGAATAAATATGAAAAAATACCCAGTAAGATATACTACCACATTACAATTAACACATTATCTACAGGTGGGCAGAACAGCGAAGTAAATTTTAAGGTGTAACGTATTTTTGATTAATTGCTTTATACCTTTTCCTTCCAGACATGTGAGACGAATCGCTTAGTTTATCGGTCTAAGTCCGATGGTTTTGAGGGAGAGGGAGATGGAGAGAGGGAGGGAAGGAGGGAGATAGGAAGGAAGGGAAGAAGGGAGAGGGAGAAAGGGAAGGAGAAAGAGAGAGAGAGAGAGAGAGAGAGAGAGAGAGAGAGAGAGAGAGAGAGAGAGAGAGAGAGAGAGAGAGAGAGAGAGAGAGAGAGATAAGTACATAGGCCTACCGTATGAGTGTGAGTGTATGTGTCTACATGTGGGTATGCGTGTATTCAGAGACTGACCAACAGACAAATGCAACGAATTCATCGTAAAAGAAAAGAAACGAAAAAAGATGCCCCGCAAAATAACAAAACCATTGCCAAAAATTGCTTTAAGAAGAAAAAAAGAAACAAGAGAAAAACGATAAACCGAAAACATTACTCAAAGAAGAAAAAAACAAACAAAAAAAACTGGCTCATCTAACCACAACCTCGTGAACTGCCTACCCTCTCCTCGGCGCGTTATTCAGGGGCTGTTGTTGTTGTTGCTGTTGATGGTTGTCTGTGAGGGCGTGAATAGCAGGTTCGCTCCGGTAAAGACGCCCTTTCGGAACGCCCACGTGCTGTCGTTGACCACGCCCACGATTCTTCCTCTCCAGGAGCAAGTGGGCAAGGACTTTGCAAGCCTCCATGACCGTGGGCTTGAGGTAGGGGGGGGGGGCGTAGTGGGGAAGGTCCTTAGTTTGAAGACGCGGGCGGGGTTGCGTTACATCCGGGCTGTGTTCGAGAGCGCTGGGTTTTCGAGCGCGCAGGTGGAGTCGACATCTTTCGTTTTTCAATTTATTTTCCTTTTCTTTTTTCGTCTATTTTGTCTTCTTGCGTCTTTGTTTCTTTAATTTTCCGTTTTTTTTATTTTCTGCTTTGTTGCTGATTGTTTGTTTGTTTGTTTGTTTTCTTTAAAGAATGATTCTTGTCTCGTATATTTCCTCTCGTCTTCCTTTTCCTTTCACCCCTTTTCTCTCTCTCTTTTCTCTTACTTATCAGTTTCCTCAGTCCTTTCTTTACTTTCTTTCTCAATTCTCGACGCACTTACGCACCTCTTCTCATTCCTCAATTCCAATCTTTACTCAATTTTCCTTCTCCCATCATCATTCTTTCTTCTCTTTCTCCATCCATCAATATCGCCTCTCTAACCTCCAAAAAAAGAAAGGAAGAGGAGGGGGAGAAGATAGAAGGACAGAGAAGAGAGAGAATAAGAGAAAATTGGATTGAACTCGTTACCAATTATCCACGTGGGATAATTGGCAGAGATCAGTACCTTTTCTCTTGGAAGGATTATATGGATAAAAGAGCGAAGTAAAATAGAATTATATGGATGAAAAAAAAGGAAAATCGAGGGAAAATAGGATTTATTAAATTTGTTGTCGAGAAAAAGATGAAGAAAGAAAAAAGTCCTAAAAAGGTTTTTTTTTTGCGGGGGTGGGGGGGGTAAGATGCAGGATTTTAGGATTTGTTTCAGAGGGAATTGGTTGGTGAAAAAGCGATTTTTTTCTTCCTTGTTTTAGGATTCAAAGATATATATCTATTTTTTATAGAAAGTAAGATATCAGGATTTAAGGATTTGCTTAAGAGAGGGAAGGATTTCTTTGAAGGATCTATTTGTGATTAGAGGATGCAGGATAAACGTATTTTTTTCTTTATCCAACGGTTTGTTATAAAAGGGTTGAAGATGACGAGGGAAGTTCTAACAAATATTCTTAAAATTTTCTTCTTAACATGAATTGTATTTGTTTTTCTTTTTTTCTGAAGAAGGAGTTGGAGGAGGATTAGGAGAAGGAGAGAGTAAATACGAAAAGGCAGGTTATCGTTAATGTTTTTTTTTTCTTTCTTTTTTTGTCTTTCTCTGTCTTTCTTTCTCTTCTCTATCTCTCTCTCTCCTATTTTTTTCTCTCTGTTTTCTCTTCCTTTCTCGCTACTTTTATTTCAGTTTCTCTTTCTATCTCTCTCTTTTATCTTTTTTTTTCTCTTTCTCACCCTTTCAGTGTCTTTAGTTCAAGAATGTCACTGTCGTTTTTATAATTTTCCTTCTAAATATTTCCCGCTTTTCCTTTCTTGAACATATCGATTCACAACGTAGACGCAACATTTTCTTCTTCTTCTTAAAACGTAAATTAAAAAAAAACGCTTTTTTTATTAATTAATCATACATACAACCTGAAGGAAAAAAGGAAAAAATATAATAATGTCCGTGGTCAAAATCTTCATTAAGGAATCATTTGCAAAAAAAAAGTTACGAAATCTGTAATCGTTTTGAAAATCTCTTTTCTTTTTCTTTCTTTTCTTTTTTTCTTTTTCTTTTTTGTTATAGTTAGCGCTGAAGAAAAGCGAGAAGCGTATGGTACGATAATTATAACAATAAGAATGACAATGATGATATTGATAATGATGGTGATAACAACAATAACAATAATAGCAACAATAATAATAATAATAATAATGATGATGATAATAATAATAATAATAATAATGATAATGATAACAACAATAACAACAACAACAACAATAACAATAATGATGATGATGATATAATAATAATAATAACAGTAATAATAATAATAATAATAATAATAATAATAACTGATAAATAAATAAATAGAAGACGCAGCAAAAACAAAGAAATAGTCTTTAGAACGAGCACGTCTAAAAAGAATAACAAACAATGATTAAGAGAGAAATAATGATAATGAAGAGAATAACGATGGTGATAACGGCGTCAATTTCAAGCAGATAAATGGTTATGATTACGATAAAAAAAATAGTAATAATAACGAGGGAAACAAACAAATAAATCAATAAAAAAACATGAATAGAGATATAAACAAAATAAAAAAGAGAAAAAAATATAAATAAAAGTATATAAAAAACAGATTAAAAATAAAAACAGACAAGAAAATGAATAAATAAAAACTTGAACAAATAAATCAGATCAAAGATACGCAAACAAATAAACAACAAAAAAAAAAAACAGATAAAATATGTAAAAGATAAAAGTCTCTCCCTCCTTCCTCCCCCACCCCTCCCTTCCTTCCTCCTTCCTCCTCCTCCACCTCCCTTCCTCCCTCCCCCACCTCCTCTCCCCCCCTCCCTTCCTTCCCCCCCTCCCCCCCTTCCTTCCTCCCTCCTCCCTCCCTCAACCACAATTAAATTAACCTTCGGAGACACCTGTAAAGAGACCTCGTTTGGCGGTCTTACCTCTTGCTAAATTTGTACAAGTTTCACTCGGACTTGTACTAGATTTATCCGTACTTGGGAGATTTGTACTAGATTCATTCGTACTTGAACAAAAAAAAATGGTAAATAAAAAAAATAATAATAAATTACATGAATAACTAAATAAATGAAATAGTATAGATGAAGAAACAAATAAATAGAATAGTTTAGATGGAATAAACAAATGAATGAAGGAGAAGAATTAACAAATAAATAAAATCGATGAATAAATAAATAAATAAATTATTTAGACGATTAAACGAGGAAATAAGTATAAAAAAGCATAAAACAAATAAACAAAATATTCAGACGATTAAACAAAGGAATAAAATAGACAAATAAACAAAGACACTAAATGAATAAATAAACAAAGAAACAAAATCTTTAGACAAATAAAAACAAACAAATAAAATATTCACATAAATAAACAATGAAATCTAGCAAAATAAACAAAACAAATCAAGTCGCGTAACTCCGGAGGGTTCGAACTCCCGAACGCTAGAAACTTAACCACTGAGCCACTGAACACTTAATTATATGCTTGAGAGAAGAGCAAAACAGAAAGAAATGGACAACGAAGAAGAAGAAGAAGAAGAAGAAGAAGAAGAAGAACCGGAAGAAGAAGGAGAAGAAGAAGCAGAAAAAGGAGAATAACTGGAAGAAGCAGAAGAGCAAATAAAGAATTGAAAAGCTGAAGAATTTAGTAAGAATATGATGAAGAAACAGGATAAATAGAGTAAGAAGAGGAATCAAGAGAGAAAGGGTAAACGAAAATCTGTTGAAAAAGGACTAAGAAGAAAATAAAAAATAGTGAGAAGAGGAAAAAAAGGAGGAATAGACGAACATGAGAAGAGCAAAAAACATGAAAAGACTAAGAAGCAGAAACAGACGAGAATAAATACAATAAGAAGCAAGAATAGACGAATATGAGAGAATCAGAAGAGTATGAAGCAAACATAGACAAGAATAAATAGGAATCGACGAAGATGCGAAAAGAATCAAGAATAGACGAAAATCGAAAGAATGAGAAACGCTAAAACACCAAGAAGCAGAAGCGAATGGGAATAGCAAGGAGGGGGGGAGGGGGGAGTGGGGGGGAGGCAGGCGCACCGCAACCGCCTCCAGCCTTGACCGCTCGTAAGAACAGCCTCATTTCCGTCCAGGTTTCCCACGCTTATGCGCATTTCGTCGCTCGGATTTTTGCAACAACGCTCTGTCGTTTGGAGCAAAATAAAGAACAAAAGAATAAAAACGAAAATAGGAAAGGAAAAAAATATATATATATATGATAATATCCTAACGCAAATCATTCTGTTCGGTTTGTAAATGGCTGTACGGTTTCGCGGATAATTAAGAAAAAAAAAATCGTTTTGATTTTTTTTTGTCGTTGGTGACGTCACCGGGTTAGGATAATGGACGGACATTATCATATGTATTATTGTTATACATATGTATGTGTGTGAGAAACAATCTATGCGCGCGGCGTGTGTGTGTGTGTGTGTGTGTGTGTGTGTGTGTGTGTGTGTGTGTGTGTGTGTGTGTGTGTGTGGATGAGTATTTATATGTGTATATATAATCTTTACAAAGTTGGAACGCATGCATACAACTAACAATGTACACGTGCCCTAGTCCGAGAATGCCCGCCCGACACGTGCCCGTCCGCACCTTGACACGTGCCCAGCCTTAACTTAAACGCGTGCCCGGGCTTTTCCTCTCGCTCCTTCGCTCCCTATAATCCGAGCTTCCCTTACCCTCCTCTCAACCCCTATCTCATTTTCTCTTCTATCCTTTCACCTCTTTACACCTTCCTTACCTTATCCACCCTTCTCCCCCCCCCCCTTACCTCCAACCCCAAACCACCCCCTTCATCCTCCCTCCTTCCCTCCCCCTACCCTCTCTTCCCTAGCTCCATTACCTATACTCCTCCCCCCCCCTGACCCCTCTTCTCCTCTTCCCCCTTCGTCCCCATCCCCTCCCCTCCCCCCCCACACACACATGGTACGCGAGCTTCTAATCCCAGTACCGGATACCAGCACCGGATGGGATTGTGTTCACCCGGGAAAACCGTTTCATTCGGTCTGGTAAACTGCCTGTCTTGCCCTGGAGTGGGGAAGCTGGTGTTGCCATTAAAAGGGGGGGGGGGGAGGATGGGGGTATTTTCGCTGTTTGCTTTTCCTGTCTACTTGATCTGTCTACTTTATATGTTTTAGTTTATTTGTCTACTTCTCTCGATGGAAGGAGAGGATGTATATGTAAGGAGATGCATCCAAGTGGTATTCATATATGCATGGACATATGTACTCTTAGTCAAAAGGACACACATACACTCTTGAAAATACACACACGCGCGTGCACTTAAGTAGACATACACACATACACATACTCTTGAATCTAGAGATATGCACCCTTAAACACACACACACACATCCTTAAACACACATACACACACACATACACCCCCTTAAAC